AGAATGTGGCTACAACTGCTATTGAACTAATTTAGATTGCAGGTAACATTCTTGTTTAATGCACCGGACTCCTTTTTAACCTTTTGATACTAGGCTGTTGGAGATACTGCGGAGAGATACATGCATTATGGTATAACTGTTATGCTTTGTTTGCAGCTAGCTGTGCTGCCAACTGGTTGTTTGGTAAGTGCTGCTCTTAGAACAAACTGGTTTAATATGGGGATATTTGGTCTTTAGTTTCCTAAAAGCTTTAGCTCATCAAACACTGGAGCAGAAACTATTATTGGGATGGATGAATCTAGTTTCAGGGACTAGATATATAGATCTTTATTGATATGAATTTAGTTGCTACATGAAAGTTCACTTCTGTGGTATGCTGGTATTTCTCTTGAAAACAGCTTCCTTCTAAAAAGCAGTACAATGTCATCAAAACATAAATCTACTTCATTTCTCTAGTAGAAATTCTGATAATTTTTCTTTTTCCTACTTCCTCTTTAATCTGACTAGACTTAAATCCAAAGCTATACACTGCTAGGGCTGTGTCGACCATAATCGTTGTTAATAATTCGAACACAGACCTCAAATGCAGGGGTACCTGCTCTTAACTACTTGAGCTACAAATCACTTGTATATTTTTCTACGAAAGAAAAACCATTTGTAATTTGTTTTTTTAAAGTCTAAAACACATAAAATGACGAGCCTAATTTAACTAACACAGAAAATGACAAGCCTAATTTAACTAACACAGAAAATGACAAGACGAAACAGAGCCTTTAGACTTAAGCGTCCTAAGCCAGCAAGCAGACAAACTAAATCAAAAGTAGGTGACTTAACACCACAAAAGTGATCAATGTCATCAATTTCTGACTTTTAAATCATTGTTAACAAACTAAACAGGTCACCAACGTTGGGCCTAAACAAATGGCCTGCTTTCAACCCAAAAACAAAACAAGTGGCCTCTGGAAAAAGAAAAAGAAAACATTATTTTGATGCGGACATCTATCTACAAAGATTGATTCTAGAAGCTGCTGCTCCTCGTTGGTCTGGTGTTGTGTAAAACTTATTATTTATTGATTATCTCTAACCACGTGTCAAACTCGATCATTATCTGCATCTGCATGCATCTCTCAAGTAATAACGAAGTTGATAAACTGGTCGGCTATGTTTTATTTATTTTCTATTTTTTATACTTAAACGATTAATGTTGTTAAGATTTTCGGTTGCCACATGTCTATATTTATTCTAAAATTCTCATCTCAAATATCGGATAAGATTTTTGGACAAAATTTTAGTATAAAATTTTCGAATAAGATTTTCAGTTGCCACGTGTTCATATGTATTAAAAAATTCACATCTCACTCATCATACAATTGAAATACCTACTCACTCATCATACAATTTAAATACTCCTGATCCTCATAGTCTGACACAATCGAGTACAAAGACGGCTCAATCATTGGCGGAGGCGATTCCACCAGATCACGATGTGGCAGAGTATTTTCTTTTGGAGGACATAATCGTGTCATTATTTCCTCCACGGAACGCACCACGGGAACCAATTGCGAGCATTGTTCACTTGAGGAGCCATGTGTAATGGTTTTCTTCACACAATTGAACGAACCACGTGTAGTGAATTTCGAACAATTCTTCAAAACATCCCAACATTGGTGATTTTTGAATATTTTATTACCTTGACCAATGACACAAAACCACATTTGTGCTTGAAGAATCTATTAAAAAAATAAAATTGAAAATCCAAGAAAAAAAAAGACATGCAATTGAATAAAACGGCAATTAGAAATTTGTTACCTCGTCGCCAAGATTTTCATCGCTTCGAACCATTTCACTCGCTTTTGCTAACACATTTCTCCATTTCCCTAGCTCTTTATTCAAAATTTTCCATCTACTAACTAAGGTCATTTCCATTCGAGTCAAACCTAATCTTTCACAAAATTCTCCATGAATTTTTCTCCACATATGAGAGAAGTTCGTCTCATTGCCCCTGATCGGGCAATGACCAACTTTGAACCAACACTCACACAACAAAATATCTTCAATGGTTGTCCACGTGCCTCTGGCTTCAATGGAAGATGCCATTTATTTTTTGACACAAATGGAATTTAGTGAAGGAGAAAAATATTTGGTGTGGAAAGTGAAAATATTTGAAGGAGAAGAATTTGTTGTGGAAAGTGAATAATATTGGTAGGTATTTATCGAAAAAAATTTCATAATTTTTTGGTATTTTTAAAAAATCCCTAAGGAGAAAAATATTTGGTGTGGAAAGTAAATTATGTTGGTAGGTATTTATAGAATTTTTTTGCAATTTTTTAAGGCAAAAAAATCGCACCCGTTGGATTTCTTAAAAATCTATGATCGGAGCATCTAAGAAGCACCACATGGCTTCTTCCCGTTGGTTTCTGTCAGTGTGATGTCTGAACGAACCACGTGTAGGGAATTTCGAACAATTCTTCAAAACATCCCAACATTGGTGATTTTTGAATATTTTATTACCTTGACCAATGACACAAACCACATTTGTGCTTGAAGAATCCCTAAGGAGAAAAATATTTGGTGTGGAAAGTAAATTATGTTGGTAGGTATTTATAGAATTTTTTTCTTTTGAATTTTTTTGCAATTTTTTTAGGCAAAAAAATCGCACCCATTGGATTTCTTAAAAATCTATGATCGGAGCATCTAAGAAGCACCACATGGCTTCTTCCCGTTGGTTTCTGTCAGTGTGATGTCACGGCTGACGTCAGCAGACTTCGGGCCACAACCCAAACAATTCTTGCCCATGAGCTTGCCCTGGTTGGTGGGTCCCACCCCTTATTCGGGCTGGACCTTGCACGCTAGAGGGGTTTTTTGGGCTTGAGGCCCCCTTTAGCTTGCCCTCCCCCTTGCGGTGGAAGTGCTCTTATAAAAGCACTTTGGCCCACACCTTAAGTTTTGCAAGTGAAAAGAAGAGGAGGTAGGCACAACGATGTGACAATATGAGACATCAGCAACAGACAATGTCAAGTGTAGTTGTTGTTGCTCTGTGCCGTCCCACACACGCAACAATGCTAATATTTAAAACTAATTGCCTTTCTGGGGCTGCGCGGTTGGCGCCCATCGTCTTTGATGTTGTAAATGAAGGTCAATCTTCATCATATAAGAGTCAAGTGTTTTAATTCAATTAATCCCACCTTCTTTGATGTTGTAAATGAAGGTCAATCTTCATCATATAAGAGTCAAGTGTTTTAATTCAATTAATCCCACCTTCTTTGATGTTGTAAATGAAGGTCAATCTTCATCATATAAGAGTCAAGTGTTTTAATTCAATTAATCCCACCTTCTTTGATGTTGTAAATGAAGGTCAATCTTCATCATATAAGAGTCAAGTGTTTTAATTCAATTAATCCCACCTTCTTTGATGTTGTAAATGAAGGTCAATCTTCATCATATAAGAGTCAAGTGTTTTAATTCAATTAATCCCACCTTCTTTGATGTTGTAAATGAAGGTCAATCTTCATCATATAAGAGTCAAGTGTTTTAATTCAATTAATCCCACCTTCTTTGATGTTGTAAATGAAGGTCAATCTTCATCATATAAGAGTCAAGTGTTTTAATTCAATTAATCCCACCTTCTTTGATGTTGTAAATGAAGGTCAATCTTCATCATATAAGAGTCAAGTGTTTTAATTCAATTAATCAACGCCGTTCAAAAAAATTTACAAAGGCAAAAGGTCAAGAGCTGGATAGAAGCTTCTGTTTGGCAACCAAATTCTCAATAGCAATAGGGTTTAGGTTTTGCCATTTTTATGTTGTTGTGTGTTGAATTTTTATTGCAGGTTTAAGTACACGTGCTTACAATTGCTTATTTAGGGATTTAATCACTTTTTAGGGTTGTGCGTATTCTCTTAAGATTAATTTAACTTTTTGTTGCGTTTGGTCACCGGAGAAGTTATATCCATATTCAGCATCTTAGTTGCTTTGTACTTGTTTTTGTTTATCTTATTAATAAAATACTATCGCTCTCTTATTCAAAAATATATAAAAGAGGTTGTTTGAAGAATACAATTGTCAATTTCGATACATGCTATAGACAAAAAAAAAAAAAAAGGTTGTTTGAAGGATACAATTTTCAATTTCGATACATGCTATAGACAAAAAAAAAAATTAATGAGACTTGACGAAAGGATGAAATTGGAGCACATGCAGGACGACGTAAATTAAAAAAATAAGTTGGAGGACTAAAATAAAAACCGGATACAAGACCAAGAAATCCCTAATGGCGTTTGCATACAAATCGGTGAACTCCAAAATGGATTAAACGTTTGCTATGAAATTGTATTATGCAGGGAGTAAACTCCAAAATGGATTAAACGTTTGCTATGAAATTGTATTATGCAGGGAGTAGGGGCAATCCTCTTTATTAGTTTCACATTTTTTTGGGGTTGGTAGACGAATATTCTTTCTTATATTAAAAACAAATGAAAAATTGAGATAATAAATATAATCATTTTTCAAAGGAGGAAATGCATTTACCACTTTGTAAATAAAATTTTGTCAATAAAATTTCTTGTTTATACTCATTTCAATTTGTAAAAACAATTACCAACTACCCTTAACTAAGATCATGGTAGACTAACCACAAAGCATGCGATTAGCGCATGGATTATTTAATTGACTTATGCCATCATTCCCACTCCGACATAGATGGTGACAAGGATGATATATGTTTCTATAAAGTTCGATGCTTTTAATGCGGCTAACTCCATTCTCTCCATTATAATGGTGTAGCTTTGTTATAGATGTATTCGCCCGTTATAAAAAAGTAGTTTGTAAATATCACAAAAAATGACTCATATTAAGTGACATAAAAATCATAACCCACTTTAAAACATTGAAACGAGAAAAAAACGTGTTGATTTTCAATTGGCTCCTCCTCCACTGTAAAATTAAGACAGAGAAAAGTCCACTTTTGCCTATTTTTTTTTTCTTTTTAATTTTTATATCCCGCCCTTAACAAACCATATAAAGCCTCCTTGTCGCTATGTAACAAGATAGGCCAGGCAGCTAGGCTCCGCCATTTCCATAAGCCTCTCTTTGACTCTCCAACTCTCAAACTCCCACCATTTTCTTCTTCTTCTTCTTCTTCCACGACCTCAAAAATGCCGGGCTGCTTCAGCTTTACAGCGTCGCGCGACCGCTGCTTCCGCTACTACTTCTCATCACACGGCCTAAAATCCACCACCACTGATTTGGGCGAAGGCACAATCATGCACTGCTGGGTCCCCAAATCCCACTCCCAATCCAAGCCTACGCTGCTCCTCATCCACGGGATCGGCGCCAACGCAATGTGGCAGTGGCACGAGTTCGTCGCCCCTCTCGCCGCCCGCTTCAACCTCTACATCCCGGACCTTGTCTTCTTCGGCGACTCCTTCTCGACCCGACCCGACCGCTCCGAGACTTTTCAGGCCCAGTGCGTCGTGGGCCTCCTGGAGGCCCACGGGGTGAAGAAAATGAGCGTCGCTGGGATTAGCTATGGTGGTTTCGTGGCCTACAGCATGGCGGCGCAGTTTGGGGAGCGGATAGAGAGGCTTGTGCTATGCTGCGCCGGGGTTTGTTTGGAGGAGAAGGATATGGAGAAGGGGATGTTTCAGGTGAGGAGTGCGGAGGAGGCTGTGAGTATTTTGCTGCCTCAGAGGCCTCAGCAGGTTAGGCAGCTGCTGAAGATCTCTTTTCACAAGCCTGTTAAGAATCTGCCCTCTTGTTTTCTCAATGATTTTATTGAGGTAAGCAAAACTTTCTGAACTATCTTTTTTATCTTTCTGAGAATGAAATTGCATGTGTCTCTATGTGTGTTTTGGGGTGTTTAATTTGTTGGGTTTAATTCAAAAGAGCAAATTAGCATCTTAAAAAAAATAAAGTTTCTTTCTTTCTTGCCTAATGCAAGTTAATATAGTTGATGCATTGTAGAAACATACATTTCAGTACCATATGTATCTGGTTTGAATATTCTCAGAGTATCTGGGTTCATACATGAATCATAGCCAAATCAATTGTCAATTGGCTGATTCGTACTTATAAGAAATAAGATGAAATGATGCTTCAAAACTGTGAAACTAGCATCTAATCAATCCGGAAGTGATATTTGTGTTTGGTGGAAAACAACAAAACCCGTTTTGGTCCTGTTTGTAGGATGAAGATTGTAAATTCAGATTGACTCATGCACATAATCACTTTCATCTCTTTTGCCAATAATTTCTTTTTTGCGCTATCACCAACAGATTGCATCTCTTTTGTCTATTTTGGACTATGTTTTGCCTCACATAAAGTATCATCACAGACACAGAGCTTTACTCTGTTATTCAGGGATATGTGTAAATTCCAAGTGTCAATGCGAAAATCTTTAGGCTGCCAGAGACTATAGTTCATGGTCATAAAGTGCTCAAAATATTGTTTGTTTACCGTTGATTCTGTAATGCAGCGGCAATCGTGGTGCAAGTCCTGTTTGTTCATATTAAATGAAGATGTTGTTCAATATTTCTCATTTCCGAATATTATAGGCGATATAGTAATTTCACCGGAAACTTGTCTCATGAGTTTCGGTTGACTGGCAGGTGATGTGCACAGAACACCTTCAAGAGAGGAAAGGATTGATTCAAGCATTGCATAAGGACAGAAAATTGTCCGATCTTCCCAAGATATCCCACGTAATTTTCTAACATGTTTTGCATTTGGGGTCATTGTGTTTATCTTTTTGGTTTTCTGGAGTACTTAAAGGCAGAATTTCTTCTTGATGCAGCCTACACTAATCATCTGGGGAGAGCATGACCTGGTATTCCCACTGGAATTAGGGCACCGATTAAAAAGGTAAATCGGGTGGGCTTAATTATTTCTATAACATTATTTGTGTGTTATTTCTACAGAACATTATGATTAAGACAAACCAAAATCATGTCCATGTTTACTTTTTGCCTTGTTTAAGTTGACTTAAGCAAACATTGGAATTCATCCAATGGGAAGACCACTTCTAAACATAATTGCATGGGTCTATGCATCAATTTTTTTCGAAAGTTTGGTCTTACTGTTCTTCCTCTGTTGCAGGCAAATAGGTGAGAGTTCACAACTAGTGATCTTAAAGAATGCAGGGCATGCCATAAATGCAGAGAAACCCAAAGAGATGTACAAGCACATGAAGTCTTTCCTCATTGATCCACTTCCTCCACCTAAACAAGAAAGCCACAGCAACGGCCGCAAGGTGGATTGAAATTTGAAGAGAAGGTGAAGAGCAATCAAGATGACTAGATAAGTAACTGGTTTTCATTTAAAACCTACATTATGAGATACGCTGGTGCGTATTGTGGATTATGTGTTCATTTTGTATATTTATAAGACGAAAAGATATATATCAGCGCAGTAGAACCGGATTACGCAGATGCTTATTTTAATGATGAGAAATGCTAGCAACCTTCTCTCTAATTTCTTACTAGATTGTCCAGTAACATAGGATACTTGTATTGCCGGACTATGAATCTAGGCCATTGGATCATATTAATTCTTACATGAACGCTTGCAACATAAGCAACTATTTGGCAACATAATAAGGGGTAATAAAGACTGCTCTTAGGTTCTATTTTGGATTTGACAACAAGGCTAAATTTGCTACAGAAAAACTAGAAAACATTGGATTCAATTTATTTCAAGTAACTAGATGTAAAACATTTGTAATGGATTTAAAATGACTATATTTAAGGACTCATTTGAAATCCATTTATTTTCTTCATTTTCTTATTCAAATCTTAACATAGATGGATCATGGATTGTAGTACCAACATTAATCCTAGATTTGAAATTACTCCATCCAAGCAAAGATATGATTGCACTTGCCTTGGAAGCTTTAAAAGTTAAACTCATGTTAGTGCTTTTAAAAAGTAAAAATTATGTTGGTGTCCATGAAAATGTATATGTTCCATTCTCACGATTCTAAAAGCCAGTAGCATCATGAGTTTAGCATTCTTTTAATTTGCAATAAACACAATAAATTCAATTAAACCACCCAAACTTCCCAACCAAAAGCATATCAATTGGTCTACGGGGTCTAGTCCAGTGAAAAAAAGGGCATTGAATTTGACTTGCATACCAGAGTTCTCAAGTTCGAATCCATATATGGCACCTTAATTGTGTGTGTGTGATAAAACCCATCAACTGTAATTTAGACTATCATTGTACTAAACAAAAAATATGCATATCAATTGATCCGATCCTTGAACGTACCTGAGGCTGAGGTTAATTTAATTGGATGGTTAAGGTTTCCTCCCACTTTATCTATATGCCAACTTCCAAGTGGAACATCACATCCTATGTGTGAGGTAGATGCTGATGCTTTGCTCACCTTTATTCCTCTTCCTTTTCAATTTGACTGTTCTATTATTCTATTTTTTTTTCTTCACATAGTCACATAAATATTTTTTGGTCCAATTACAATTCAAAAAAGATCAAAACAAGAGTAGGAGATTTCCCAAAAAACCACGAGCGCAAACCACATTTTCCCTGCAAAATTGAAAAGATGACGAAAAAATCAGCACTAAATTTTAGTTCCCCATTTGCTAATTCTGTAGCTTCCACCTTAAGGCCTAAGCTATCTCTTCTTTTTGCTCACGCAATAAAGTTGTCTTTATCCTCCAATACAAATCCCATCCCAAACAAACACAAAAGTTCTGCAAAAACTGGACTGCACTTTCCACTAAAGCTCAAGAGCATCCGGTGCGCATTTTATGACAACAAGGCATCAACGTTTAAAAATGATTATCTAATCCAAATGAAAACTTTTTTTTTT